CTGGATGTTGGGCACAAGGGTTGACTCTGGGACTTCCCATGCCTTGAAAAAAACCTCAGATTGACCAACACCAGGCCGCCCCCCCGCCCCATCACTACCCTCTGACACCAGCATTCCAAAGGCAGTTTTTAGAGAGTGATCATCCCATGTTTAATAGTTTCTCTTTCATAAGCATCATTAGCCACACAGTTAAATTGATTCCAATTCATAGTGACTCGGCAGGGCCAGACAGACCTGCCCCTGTAGTGTTCTTTACGGCCTCATCTTTCTCCACCAACCTGCGGTTAGCAGCATCATTAGATGGCTTGAATGGAAAGGTCTGAGTTGTCATCGTACCACTGTGTGACCTTGGGCAAATCACTCTACCTCTCTGGGCCTCAGGGAAAGCCTGAGAGTCTAAGGACCTAGGACAGAAAAAAATAAGCCCTGGTGGCGCAGCTATTAAGTACTCGACTGTTAACCCAAAGGTTGTCAGGTTGAATCCACACAGAGATTCTGAGAGATGAAGATTACAGTCAAGAAAACTCTATAGGGCAATTCTTTTCTGTCACATGGGGTCATTATAAATGGGAATAAACTCAGTGGCACCCAACAAAAGGGCAGGAAGGAAGTCTTCATAACTGAGGCAGCTGTTGGTAATAAGAGGTGGTACCAGGGAAGGATGCAGGGTGGGGGCCTCCTCGAAGGTAAAAAGCCCAGGTGGGCCAGAATTCCCTCATCCCAACATGTAGTGGCAGAAGCTGGGGCTCAGCAGGAGTCCTCAAAGAATCAATCATGCCTTAATTAGGGTCATTATTAACCTCTTTCCATGCTGATGTTGGGCCTTCTTGTTTACCCAACACTGCAATTCCAAGAGCTCTGTGACTGCTCTTCCTCCCAGGAGGAGGCTGGGGGGCCCAGAGGCCAAGGTGAGCAGGCCAGCTTCACCCAGCTGGTGGGAGGGCCAATGGGCTCCTGGGATCTTTGGACCCTCTTGGTTTCCTCCCCTGCCCTGCAGTCCCATATGATGCCCTCGTGCCCATTAAGTAAACGTTTATGAAGCTTCCACTGTGTGCCAGGTACCGTGTAGGGCTGTTTGGAATTCTGGAGAATCCGACACAAGCCCTTCCTCTCCAGAAACCAATGTAAGTGTAGCGATGGCAACTATCCCATGCACTTGCTTTACAGTTTACAAAGAGCCTCCACATACAGCATCTCACTGAGGTGTCACTCCAACTCTACAGTGAAGTGCGGAGGATGAAGCTGGGGGAGGTCAGAATTTGTCAGCACCTGTCTGAGCACCAGGTGTCCTCTCTGTCCATCCTGGTTCTATCTGCTGAGCTCCCCCTCAGTAAAGGCCTCTGGGGGGGGGTGGGGAGCAGAGCTGCATATCTGGAGAGCCTCTGGGGCCACAGGCTGCAAGGCTCAGGCCCTAGCCATGGGATGAGTTCTCCAGGCACAGAGAAAGCCTCTGTTTCTCAGGTCACGGCCACCAGCTTGAAATGGGTAGTCACCATTAGAGCAAAGCTTAGCATCTTGGAACTCCCAGGCTGACGACTCCCTAAGCCAGAATCTTAGAAACCTGGAACAATCCAACTTGGTATCTTAGAACACTCCAATTCCTAAATGTCAGCATCTAGAAAGACCTGAAGCCATTCCATCCTACCTTCCACCCAGGTGTCTCCTTGCATGTTGTTGTTATGTGCCTTTGAGTCGTTTCCAACTCATAGTGACCCTGTATAGGGTTTCCGAGGAGCAGCTGGTGGGTTTGAACTGCTGACCTTGTGGTTTGCAGTCCAGTGCTGACCCTACAGCGCCACACCAGGAGAAGCCCCCACTGTATAGCTTCTTGCTACTTCCCAATGAAGCCTCTTGCATAGGCTTTGCATACTCCCAGTTGATGAAGTCCTCCCTTCTTAACTCCAGGGCTCTTTAAACAGAAAGACATCCTTGGGAAGAACGGCCACCCCTGCCACCACTTACCTCCCTGTCTGGCCCTGATGGGTTCTCCCAGGAGCAGAAAGCAGATGCTCCTAGGGCCTCTGGCTGTGTCTGAAGGTCTGGTCTGAGGAGTTGGTGAAGGAGGAGACTCCCACTCTCAGTTGATACAACATACCCCTCCCAGGAGCCCAGTAATTTCCATCTCCAGGGACCAGAGTGGCTTTTTCCAATGCCTCTCCCTAGGTCCCAGGGAAGGGGGGGCCTCCCACATGGAAGGAGGAGGAAGCTGAGTCTGGCAGACACTTATGCTGAGCAAACTTGTCTTGCCCCAGTTTTTACCCCCTGAGGGAATGGGGAGCAATGATTTATTTATTTATGCAAAATAGTGGAGTTACTATACAAACAGTCTTCCCAAGCAGGCCTGGGGGTGGGGGTGGGAAGAGAAGCAAGGGTTACCAGTTAAGGAATCTTCCTTTTCTTCCTTCCCTTTATCACCTACCTGCCTCTAGCCTCCCATGCCTGTGCTCCAAGCCACTATCCTAACTCAGCTTTCCCACCTCCCTGCCTCTGCTCACACAGGGCCCCTGTCAGGAAACCCCTTCCACCCCAGCCCACCCTTCTAATTCCTGTCTATCTTAGCAAACGCACCCTGTGCAAGCTAGGTCTGGTTCGCCCATGGACGCCTCCTCCCTCTGTGCTCACATCATCTGGTGGAGCTCTCAGACATGATCGCAGGCCTCTGGGCACCGTAATTATTCACTTCTGTGGCTGATTCCCCGCCCCCCCCCCCAAGACAAAGACTTCTGATCCACCAGGCCTAGCTTTACTGGAGACCCACAAGTCTATGGCCCTGGGGTGGGTGATGGGGCCAAGAGATGCCTCAGACCCTGCCCCTATTCAAGGAGTCATTGTATAGGGGCCAATAGTGTCCTGTATCCCTCTCACTTGGCCTGGCACTAAGAAGCATTCGTCAGTTGCAGTCCTTGAGCACTACGCAAATGGTCAAGTGCTAAATGAAAACGTTAGTGGTTTGTACCCATCCAGAGGCACCTTGGAAGAAAGGCCTGGTGGTTTGTCTTTGAAAAATCAGCCGCTGAAAACCCTGTGGAGTACAGCTGTACTCTGACGTTCATGGAACTGTCGAGAGTCAACATTGACTTGATGGCAACTGGTTTGTTTTGGTAAAGCTGGTTACAGGGATGCCATAAATTGGAATCAGCTGTGTGGTAACTGGTTGCGCTGTTTTTGTTTTTGAAGAGCTGGTTAATTTTAAGAAAGAAAGGAAGGGACTGATCCGAGCTTAATGTTAGTCACACAACAGTACTTACTTTTGAGCCTGGTTCAGCTTTGCCTTTTCACAATTTACACAAACAAATAAGCTACTTAAAAAGAAGTCTCCCATGAATTTTTCTTAAACCTCCAATGTCTGCTCGTCCCTTTCTGTGCCAAGACCTAAGGTTAAAGGGCCTCAGAGTTAGCCCAGAGCACTGATTTCTTCATATGTCCTTAGTGGTAAGGCTATGTGGAGAGCAGGCCGTCTGCCCCAGGCAAGCCTGAGATCCTGGGGCCTAAACCCTGGGCCTCTTTTTCAGTTTTCCAGATTCCTCTTTGTTGTTGTTGTTAAGTACTGTTGAGTGGATTCCCACCCATAGCCACCCTACATAGGGTTTCCAAGGAACAGCTGGTGAGCTTGAACCACCGACCTTGCAGTTCAAATGGCTTTGCAATCTGGCACATTAACCCACAGTGTCACACCAGGACTCCTTAGGGACCAAAAAAACTCCCAACAGTCTGCCTTGCTTGAAACCAGAGAAGAAAATTCTCCCTAGGAGTGAGCTAGCCCAGCGCACCTAGAAGGTTAACGCCAATTCCATGATTTAAAGATCTTCAATTCTATTATTTGTCATACATTCCTTTAGCTGAAACATCATTTTTCTCTAAGCTTCTCTTTAAAAATATTAATCCCTTCTTGGAAATCAAGAAAATATAGTTTAATACTTGGCTCTGTCGTTGTTGTTAAGCGGCGTTAAGTCAGTTCTAACTCATAGTGACCCTGTATAGTTGGTAGGTTTGAACTCCTGACCTTGTGGTTCACAGTCCAGTGCTGACCCTACAGCGCCACACCAGGAGGGTGTAAATTAAGAACCAGTCTGCCTGAGTTACAAAGCCAACTCTGCCTCCTCTACTTAACTGAGCTGGTTTCTTAATGCCTCCCTAACCTCATTTTCCTCACCTCTAAGGTTGGAATAATAGCACCAACCTCATGGCCTGCCAAGAGGATTCAATGAACAAATGCATGTGAGGTGCTTAGAGCTGATACACTATGCTCTGAACTCAGCATTTTTTGGTTCATAAAATGGGACAACAATCCTGGTTTCTTTACTTGTTTTCACAAATCAGAGAGTGCTGTCCTCATGGATGGAAAAGGCTGGTGCTGTGTTAGAACCCAGTGGGCTGCTCTCTGTAGCCTCTCCCTAACCCCTTTGTCCTACCCTCTTTGTTTGCTTTTTTCTTTACTTGGAAGAAGGTACCTGTGGCTGTGAGTTGGGCTCTCAGGGGTGCTCTGTGCCCAGAGGTGGTGATGTCACTTCATGAGGAGAGCTGAGGGGACAAGGGAACAAGCCCAGTCAGACTGGTTATCAGTCCCACCCTGCCTTCTACACCCCCAACTGGACCCCTACTGAGCCCCTGCTCTATGACCACCCTACGCTGGGTATAGAGTCCAGGGGTCACACCTAGTCCCAGCCCGATGGAACCCTAAGCTGAGGGTGAATCAAGTAGACACGTGATCCTATCCCAAGCCATGAGGCCCAGCACACACAATCCCCATCCACTCAGGATGCCCACAAACCAGTCCCAACCCCAAACCCAGTTCAACCTGCTCTCTGAACCACTCTTGCTTTCATCCAGTTCCCACGGGAAGTGGTCCAGTGCCCAGCAACCCTGGGGCTAAACCTGGGGCTGCACCTGGCTCCTGGGGGGCAGAAGCCCTTTCATGTTACCCAGGGACCTGCTTCTCTGGAGGTAGCTGCCAAACCAGCCGCTCTTCTAAAGCAGCCGCTAAGGGAGGGCCGGTGGGCTGGAGGCGGCGGGATTTGGGGCACCACAATTATGTGCCTGAGTTCTGACTCATGCATCGCCTCTCCCATCACCAGCTCCTACAGCCAGCAGGACAGCTCCCTTGCTCAGGAACTGGGAGGAGAGATGGCACTGATGGACTCAGCACTGTGGGCTTCACAGGATGCTGCCCCATTGCCATTGCCTGCATTGGGCTGGCAAGGCCAGGGGTCTGTCCATGTCACTCAGAGGCAGAGGCAGGCCTGGGTCTCAGGTCTCCTGGTGTCCTGCAGACCAGGGGCCATGACAGGGCCATGCCAACATGAGAATGAATGCTGACCCTGAAGCCAGACCTCATAGAGCCAAGATTCAGCCTCCAATCAGAGGTGAACAGAGCAGGGCTCAGAGACAGCATGGAAAAGACATCCAGCTGCTGAGGGACAGATACCTGAGGTACCCTCAATTCTGCTTATTTCCACCTCCAACTCCAAGCTTTCTGACAGTGCCCTGAACACACAGCACTTTACAGTTTGCAAAGCATACTTATTTCCTTTACCTCCCACTGGTAGCATAGTGGTTACGAATCAGGCTGCTAACCTCAGGGTCAGCAGTTCAAAACTACCAGCTGTTCCGTGGGAGAAAGATGAGACCTTCTGCTCCCATAAAGATTTACAGCCTTAGAAACCCTATACAGGGTCGCTATGAGTCGGAACCGACTCCACGGCACATCACCACCACCACTACCACCCACAGTTGTAAGACCTAAGCTATGAGTCGGAACTGACTCCACGGCATACCACCAACCACCACCACCAAGTGACAGAAAGAACAAAAATAGGCCAGAACTTCCCAAACTTTAATATGCACACAAATCAACAGGGCATCTTGTTAGAATGCAGTCTGACTCAGCAGGCTCAGGACATTGCTGGTTATGGGCTGTGGAGTCGGTTCTAGCTCATAGCGACCCTACAAAGGGTTTCCAAGGCTGCAAATCTTTATGGGAGCAGAAAGCCTCACCTTTCTCCCACAGAACTGCTGGTAGTTTCTAACTGCTGACCGTGAGGTTAGCAGCCCGACTTGTAAATCTTTACAGGGCAGCAAATTTCATGTTTCTTCTGGGGAGCGACTGGTGGGTTTGAACTACTGACCTTGTAGTTAGCAGTCCAGTGCACCACCAGGGCCCTTGCCTTATGTATAAAACAAGAGAATTGATAAACACTATCCCCAGAGATTAAATTAGTTAGCATAGTCAACATATGTAAAACACATAAGATAGTTATTATTATTACAGTGAGTTATTCACATTTCAAAATGGATTTTCTGAGGAACCTGCAAATAGCACACTAAGTAGAAGAAGCCAATCAGAAAGACCACATATTGTTGGGTTCTATTCATATAAAATGTCCAGGGCAGGGAAATCTATAGAGACAGAAAGATTAGTGGTTGTTTAGAGTCTGGGCTTAAGCGCTAAGCTGCTAACTGAAAGGTCTCCACAGGAGACAGATGAGGCTGCCTATAAGGAAAAGAAAATGTCACAAATTCTCCATCGGGGACCCAGGCCCTCAGACTCCAGATGTGGCAAGAACTTTATGTATAGGGCAGCCCGTGTCCACCTTGTTCCAGTTTTCCTGCCCTCTCCAGTCTCAAGGAGCCCTAGTGGTGTAGTGGGTTAAGCATTGGTTTGTTAACTGCAAGGTCTCGGTTCTAACCCACCAGTTGCTCTGTGGGAAAAAGATGAGGCTGTTTGTTCCTGTAAAGATTTACAGTCTGGGGAAACCCTACATAGCAGTTCTATAATGTTCAGAAAGATGGCTCTGGGTTACCTCGAGTCTCTGGCCGCTGCTCTGTCTCAGGGCCTCCTAGCAGGGGTCACAGGCAGAAGGTGTTACTACGGTGGCGCCTGTCTCTACCCCCACCTTGACTTTCCAGCACGGGGCCCGTGGGAGCCTGTGAATCACTTGAAGGAAATGCTGGGCCCCAAACTGGAGTTTTTCAAGCAGAAAGCCTCTATAAGATCTCCCCTAGGCCCTGGGGCAAGTGGGCAGGTGGTACAATGTGATGTAGGAAGCAGAGTAGGAGATAGCAACACCTGCTCAGATTTTACCTGAAACTCAAAGTCAAAAGATTCTCAAATGTGGTGAAACCTGGCCTGGGGACTTCTCTGCCATGGACTTACTTGCTGTGAGATCATAAGTGCCCTTTCTTATACCTCAATTTTCCCATCTGTACGATCAGGGGGACTGGACTAAACGCCTGACATTCTATAATGAAATGAAGATCGGAGAAAGTGAATATTGGTGTTTTTTTTTTTTTATTTTAATAATTTATGTTTTGTTGTTGTTGGAAAAATACACAGCAAATCATAATACCAATCCAACCATTTCTATATGAACAATTCAGTGACATTGATTCTATTCTTCAAATGGTGAAGAATGCTCTCATCCTCCGGTTTTGAATTATTCCTCCACTGTGAACCCAAATTCACTGCCTCCTGTTTCCTGTCTAACCTTTGGAGTTGCTGTTGCCAATTTGATCCCATATAAATAGTTCTTTAAAAGAGCACAAATAGTTCTTTAAAATAGCATTAGCTATTCTCTGCTAATGAAGTTAAACAATTGTTTGGTTTAAAGGAGACTTCAGGGAATACTTTTGATTTAAGGTTTTAAAGTTACTTCAAGGCACAGTCTCTCCCTGATTCAGAGTGAAGAAGAGTGAAGAAAATCAAGGGCAGAAGGACACAATCAGTCCAAGTGAACCCCAGTCTCCAAGACCCTCAGATCAGAAGAACTAAATGGCGCCCAGCTACCACTGCTGACCATTTTGAAAGGGATCGCAATAGAAGATTCTGGATACAGTGGGAAAGAAAGAGGAAACAAAACTCAAAATCATAAAAAAGACCAGGTTTACTGGACGAACCACAAGGTCAGCAGTTTAAACCCACCAGCGGCTCCTCAGAAACCCTACATAGGGTTGCTATGAGTCAGGATTGACTTGACAGCACTTAACAACAATTGGTCAGACAGAGACTGGTAGAACCCCTAAGACAATGGCCCTTAAAAATCCTTCAAACCTGGCAGGGATCCTGCCCCCTATGGCTCAACTTTCAGCCAAAAGATAGGTCTGTAAGGTGATCTATAACAGCAGGCAGGCACTCAATCCTTAGAACAATAAACCATACAAGATCCAAAGGGCAGCATTTGCCTCAGGAGAAAGCTTGGGAGGGCAGGCAGGGCTAGGAAAGGAAGAGATATGGAAACAGAGGAAGTGGGAAGGGACGCTGCTACACAGTGCAAACTGCAATCAAAGTCATCAATCAAAATGGGTATGAATTGTGGAATGGAAATTTGTCCCGCTAACTTTCACCCAAATCACACTTATAATTTCAAACTGTTTCATTAAAAACTAAATAAATAAAATGATCTCAGGGCTATTGTTTTGGGTTCATCCAACCTCAATGGTTCTAGAAAGTCTAGACTTCATGAGAATGTGACATTGTGTTCCACAGAATATAGGTTGGTAATGAATGAACAAATGACTATGCAAATGAAATGCATGAGTGAATAAAGAAACTTTGATTTGAATCCCAGCAGTCGCATAAGATCCCCCACTTATCTTGTGTTAACTGCCTAGTAGAAATCTTCTGTCATTGGTAAGAAGAGCCATCCCCTGAACGCAGGGAAGAGGGACTCTGTCATCCTGAATCCCACACATTACACACACACAAACTTGTTAGAGAGCAGACTGGTTCCTCTGTTACTCTCTGTGACATTCATGTGGCCCATAATCCTAAACAGTCTTTCCTTCACTGATACTACTCAAGCCTCAGGGAGACTCTTTCATTATCCCTGAGCTTAAAGAACTAAAAGTATATATTTTACCCCAATTAAAAACAGGACAAAGAACGAACCTGCCCAGATGAGGTCTGTGGTCTATAGGATGTGTTGCTGCTGAGCTGGGAGAAGGGCAGTGAGGGAAAACGTTTCAGAGAAAACAAATTAACTTGTCAAATCCTTTCTCTCAGACAGCAATATGCAATGGTGTCTTGCATAACAAAGTATCAATATCCCAGTAATCTTGAGCATCTTTTTTTTTTTTTTTTTTTGCTTTCCTACATGTTCCAATTTGTGGTCCTAAAAATACTCACAAATGAGTGTGGTCTTCATAATAATTACATGTGGTGGCTGAGGAACATCTTATAATATTTAACAATTCATATTGCGCACATTAACATTACATGAAGTATGATACCAATTCCTTACACTGGCAACTAGATAGATAGATACTGAACACCACAACTGTGAATATGTTGAGTAGCTCATCTCTATTTAAACAATTTTATTTTAAAATGTTATATTCATGAACTATGATGCATATTATTTTAATTTTAACAAATTTTATTAAATAAAAACTTAAAAATGCAAAATAAATTTCCCTTTACTCATTTATGTAGTGTTATTGAATTGATCCTGACTCATACAACTCTGTATAGGGTTTCCAAGAGCAGCTGGCGGGTTTGAACTGTCAACCTTGTGATTCACAGTCCAGTG